AAAAAAAGAATAAATAAGTTTAAAGGAACGAACCCAGAGAAACCACATCTCCCCAAGATCAGTTGAAGCAAGGGAACCTTCGGAGCAAGAAATTGTATTAGTTAACGAACCAGAAATTCCCCGCGGAATGTGGAAATTGGCAAAAATAAAAGAAATCAAGAGAGGGTGAGATGGAGAAATAAGAAGTGCTATAATAGAAATGCCACATGGAAAACTATCAATAGGCCAGTGAATATGTTATATCCTCTAGAAGTTGATGACAACGAAACTATTCAACAGCCAACTCCGGAAATCCCAATTCAGAATTCAGAACCGGAGGAACCGATTGCTACAAGAACTAGAAGGGCCACACGGAAACGAGATGGAACTCGACCAATTTTTATGTCAATAACGAATTGTTTATTTTTAATATCGCTGATTTTCATAACCACAGTTAGAGAACAAACACCATGCAAAATTGCAAATGGATATCAAATGAATTGCAAACAGCATTCACTTTTAAGAAAATTGAGAAGGACACGACTTGTAACTTTTCCAAACCATATCTCATGAACGGGGATATTATTATCGATGAAGGAGTCGATAAATGGCAAACAAAAAATGCAATGAACTCAGATTCCAAGGATCAGTTAATTATGAAAGAAATAAACGACGAAGAAAATAAATCAAGTAAATTTGATCCAGAGAATATTAAATTTCAATATATTTTTAATATTGCAAACTTACAGTTTAAGCAACAATTAGTTGAGACGCAGCGAAGTTGTGAAAACAGAAATAACTTATTACTTTTAATTGAATGGTTATCGACTAGTAACCCAACCTTAGCAGCTAGATTATTACTACAAAGAAGTAATATCATAGCCAAAAGAGTTGATAATAAGTTAGAGGCATCTTGCAATGTTAATAAGTTTGAATGGAAGGAAGTCGACTTCTAAGTAGGCATAATTAGCAAATTCGAAATTGAAAGAATTATTGCAGAATTAGAAATATTGGCTCAAAGACATAAAGTTATCAACCTAAAGACTAATCTACCAAAAACAGGATCTCTCTGGACAGAATTAGATAACAAGGAGAAGAGTTAATTGAACAACTGACAGTACAATTTGAGAAAACTACTGAAACAATAGAAGAACTAGCACACTTCATAGCTCATTGGAAACTCATTACTGTTAGTATATTTAGTTCTATAACTTTAATTATGATAATTGTTATGGAACTGAAATTTAAATTAATTGCTTTCATCTTTCATTTTCTATGTATTAAAAATTCAAATCACATGGAATTCATTCCTATGAGAATAGTCAAAATTCCTTCAATAAAACACGAAGATCAAAATTCTTATGATCAACCCATCACATTATCTTACAACCCAATCATTCATTCCTTAAACTCATCAAACGCCCCACTCTCTGGAATGTCGCGAAAAACTAAAATTTTATAATTATACAAGTAAAATTAGGAATGTTTTCCATGACTCATGGTTTACCATTTATCTCACATATTTGTTTAAATTTACATTCCTTAGATTTATATCCCGTTTCAATTCCCACTTTTTTTCCTTCATGTCTAAGCACATGTCTTTGTTTAGAAATGTCTTTGTTAACAATTGCTTAAAATAGCTAAATAAATACAAATCGGATCTTCTCTTTTTGTATCCTTTGTTCGATGGGCATGTTTTATGCAATTTGGCTCTCAGCAGTTTACGGTTTTTAAGATGACCGCCTCTCACTTCTTAAGATATATAAGCTGGGTCCAAATGCCGGCGGCTACGTTTTTTTTTGGAGCTGCTCTCCTCTTCGAAGGTTATCGGTTTCTTCTTTTTTATTCTTCGCTTCTTCTGTTTTATTCTTTGCTTCTACGAACATTGGCGGATTTTATCAATCTCTTATTACGATAAAGGTTAATATTCCTTACTGTTGCGTATTCACAAAACAAATCGACTTCCTCACAAACGCTTTCGCACTAAGCGCTTCATTTGGATAGATTTGATTGGAGTTTGATTATCCAACCACTGAGCTCGGCAAATAAATTATCTGGCAGTCTTT